CATGACCTGGACAGCTCACTCTGGTTAGGAAAATAGGGTTGGCAGATGTCCCAGAGGAAGATGAGGACTTTGGGCCCCAGACCTAATTAGCCCTCTTCCCCAAACATCTCTAGCTCAGGGTCCTGCTCCCAATACTTAAAACTCTTTCCCACCACAGTCTAGGTGTGTAGATACCTAGTCAGTCACAGACCCAATCTTCAGTCACATCTTGCCTGCCTTTTGTTGCATTCAAGATTCTAGTCCAGGGGTGGGGACCCTTGGCCTCAAGGCCACCAGTGGCCGCCTAGGTCCTTTTATTAAGGGGATTTGTTCTGTGAAGTTTGGGTCAGGTCAAAGGGCCAAACTTGGGGACCTAGAGGGCCACATGTGGCCTCGAGGCCACAGATTCCCCACCCGTTTTAGTCTTACCTTTTTCCTTTCCTTAAAGTTTTCTCCATCCCCACCCTGACAGCCAGATCCCAAGAAGGTATGTGAAAACCAGCCAAGCCTCAGAAGTAAAGACAAAGTTTAACCAAATAAGGAAATGTGGACACTCCTCAGTCATCCCAAGGGCAGCATAAATAACCAATAAATTCCTTTGTCAGTGAATCCATGGTGTTGCTCTCCAGTTCCCCAACTCCTCATGTAATTAGTTGTCAGGTCCTAAGTGTTTCTATTTCTGCAAAATCTCTACCCCCTCCATAACCACTGTCACCACCCAAGTCTAGGCCTTTATTACCACTGGCCTCCATGGACTCTTACAACCTAACTGGACCCTGTTTCCAGACTGTCATCTAAAGTTAATCCTTCACATCATATGTTAAGTTATAGATGGATTGTTATGTCTTTGGGGAAGGGAGTTCAGAACTTGGAATCAGGAAGATCTGGGTTTTAATCATGCCCCAGATACTTACTAGCCTTGTGACCCTGTTCCAGTCAACTTAATTTCTACCTGCCTAAGTTTCCTCATCTGTAAAAATGGGGATAATAATAACACCTACTTTACAGGGTTGTTGTGAGGATCAAATGAGTTAACGTATGTAAAGTGCTTTTCAAACCTTAAAGCTCCATAAAATGCTAATTATTATACTTATAGAGCTGGAAGGGAACGGAAGTCAGATATTCCTCACTTCCTCTCCAAACCAGAAGACCTTGACAAATAAAAGAGATGAATAGATGCCCTTGAGGAAGATGCTGAGGTTCCAGGTTGAGGCTCCAGGCTCCAACTGCCTTGGTTCAGTCCCTAGTTTGGCAGTTCCAGGTCAGGCTCCTTTTCTTTGCCTACCCCATGATAAAGGGATGTGGCCAGGGACCTACCTGCTGCTAGATTCCCTGCTGGGAAAGCACAAATAGATGTGTTAAGAATGAGCCCAGCCTCAGGAATGACAAGCTTCTTAAACAATATGCTCAGAAATACCTCAGTTCTCCCCGCAGCCAGATTATTAGAGGCTTGTAAAAAGCTTCCCAACCAACAAATACTTGGCAAAAGTGATTCCCCATTGGGCAGCCCAAAATCACAACCTGGCCCTTCAGAGTCTGAAACGGAGGGCTCCAGGGGCTAGCACAAGACGTCTGTGCCAGGCAATTTCAAAATTGCATCCCTCTTGTCCCACTCGTTCATTCATTCAGCAATCTCTTTTTGTGTACAGAGCCCACTGACCTGGTCTTTCCGGACCCTAGAGAGCAGGCTTTCTGGTGTGTTTATGCATGCCTGCCACCCGTCTCTACTAGACAGAAATTTACAGGGCTCTTTGAACAGCATCTTGGAATAGGAGGGGCCCCAAAAGAACACACCCTTTCCCCATGCCAGCGCCTTGCCCCCGCTTGGCTTACCTGCGCGGCGCTGCGAGCAGCGCCAGGATCACGGCTTGCACACTCTCCTTGCGGGGCCGCTCGGGCCAGCCTAGCTGCTTGGGCTTGGGCAGCAGCTGCCGGAAGCTGAGGCATGGGTAGGGCCACGTCTGCACCAGTGCCTGCAGCACCAGCGTTCTGCCATACATGAAGGCGGCCTGGAATAAGGCCGGGTACAGCTCCCGAGGCAGGGAGGCCAGAGCCCGGCACGCCAGAGTCTGGTGTCGGGTCACCTGCACAGCGCACAGGGACAGCAGGGACTGCATTTCTGCGGAACCGACCAGGCACCTCTGCGCAGGCGCGGCTCGGCAGGGCCCTCCGGAAGGGAGTCTACCGGCACGCCTCCACACACCCTACCAAACCCCCTCCCATTCTGCGCAGGCGTGATCGCAAAAGGGACTATGCGCCGGCCTAGGTCCGGAGGCCAAAGGTGGAGAAAGGCGACCGGGCAGGAGTTATGGGAGGCCGGCCCCAGCTTTTATAGGGCCGCTCTCGAAGCCCTGCCCTTCGACCCCGCTCTCAAACTCTTTGCGGGAGTAATCAACAGCAAACTGCCAAAAAGACAGCCAGGAATCTAGGCGGGCGACGATCGCGCAGGATCATGCCGTTTTGGCACCTCATTGGACGGAGACGAGCTGGGGCCGAGAGCTCGCCGAGGATTGGCTGTCAGGTGCCCCATTGTTGCGCCGCCCTTCGTGGTTGGCTGACGTAGGTTCTGGCTGCGAGCCGCCGCCCTGGTTCCTGGGCTGCTGCAGGCCTGTCTGAGGCTGTTTTCTTTCCCCGGGGCTGCGTGTGATGGGCATTCAGTGCCCCATAGAGGGTCACTTCCTCTGTCTGGATCCAGCGCCTTTCTCTGCCCCGTGCACAGCCGGTCAAAGTATTGCGTTTTGCACCGGGCGACTTTCGACTAGTGCATTTCATCACCTTGTCTCAGATCTTCCCTCCCCCTCCTCCAGGCACTGGCTCCTTCCCAGCTGCCCTCCTTAAAAAAGGCTTCATTGGACCCTAACATTCCCGCAAGCCACTCTCTTAAATCGGTCCTCCCTTTCTCAGCCAAATTCATAGAAAGGGGGACCTCTCTTTCCTTTACTGATATTCACCTGATCATTTCTCATTCACTCCAGTGATCTTATTCTTGCTACTGTCAAGAGGTAACAGAGAGGCTCCCACTTAATAAAGAAGACGTGGAAATTGTGTGGTCTCCCCCTGGCATGGTACTACTTGCAAGCAGTAAGCTGGGGGGCTGACTGCTTCCCCCTACCAAGGCATTCCAAGCGGTCAGGGCTTGGTTTTTCGTTTGTTTGTTTTTGCCTTAGGGTGTAATTTACTAAGAAATACACAACATACATAGTATATATTTACATGTATATTCATATGTGTGTATCCATGTATATGCACACTCTGTGTGTGTGTGTGTGTATTTCTGATGTGGGCAAAGGTTAAGGGAGAGGTTATGGAGAACTCACAGGGGGGCAAGCGTTCTCATGGTGGTCCGAAGAAGTGATACCAGGACACTCCCAGTGTCTCCTTTAAGACCTCTGGAATTGATTGTGTGACATGGGAAACACTGGCACAGGACCACCCAGCATGGTATGCCCTCCTGAGAGAAGGTGCTATGCTTTATGAGCAAAGCAGAACTGAAGTAGTTCAAAAGAAACACAAGATGTGCAAATGTAGAGAATCCACCTCAAATGTTCACATAAATTATTTGTGCCTAATCTGTGGTAGAACATGCCCCGCTCCAGCCTGTATTGGTCTGATCAGTCACAGTTGGACACACTGTAACTTGACTGTAACATAGTGATGTCATTTTGGTCTTCTTTGAGAACGAAGGACAACTAACCAATATGTATTTGTATACATATATACACACATATATATTTCTGGTGTGGGTCAAAGGTTAAGGGAGAGGTTTGGATCTCTGTGTAGAAGCCTATATATATATACATATAGGCACACATATATATATAA